TGTATATACTTTAATTGTATATTTTTATATCTTCTAAATTAAAATAATATTAGCAATATTTTTACTGGAATATCTTTGTTTCTGTCTTTTTTGCGCTGCCTTTACGCCTATTGCTGCTGTGTCAAAAGAATTCTCCTTTAGGGATAAATAAATGAATTATCTTTATCTATCTTATTTATCTATCTTAATGTATCAAAATCAATAAATTCAAGTTCCAAATCACCATGCAGGAAAAAAAAAAACTGTGTCTCTGGTATAAGAAACGATGTGTTCAGGTCATGAGGTGCAATGGTTTTTCAAGTTTTACAGTATAAAGTGCATAAACACATCAAGTAAAAATTTACCCTTTTATTCTGAAGGCAGGAGTCGCTTAAGTTCGGTGAGTGTCATTGACGCGAGTCGAACATTCCGGCAGAAGAAGAACAAAGGAATGACTCATGCGAGGAATGAACGTCAGTGAGATAACAAAGATCGATCATGTAGAGATTGAAAGAAGACTGAGGAGCATGCAGAGATTAAAGAGGACTGAGGTCCTTCAAATAAACGCTGGTTGCCATTAAGGATAGAATAACACAATGAATTAATGTAACAATAGTGATAATAACATGCTCATTGGTTTTGGACTTGTTAGTTTCAGTCGGTGGAGACCTATATTAAGATCATTCAGATACTTCTTTTACTAAGTTTATTATTTATTTTATTTTATTTTGCACAAATTAGAGATACAATTAAAAAAACACGACAAAGATTAACTAATAGTGTAAAGTGCAGGGGAGATTGCAGAAAACTCAGATGGGTATTTAAAGCCTCCACCTAAAATTTCATATTTATAAGGAACAGAAAATGACATACAAAAATAATAAAACTAATAAAGAATAAAAACTGATAATAGGAAAAAAAATGTTATAACATCAACAACAGTATACATGACAACAACAATTAACAATATGAAAACAAAAATCATAACATGATATAAAAATCGTGTTTGGTGTGAATTTAGAATTTTTAAAACAGCAGTTAAATGGCTTTTAAACATTTTTTGAAACATTTATAGAGATTGGAGTTTTTTGCCAGGATGGGAAAAGTTATTCCATAATTTTGGTTACCCCCTAAATGTTAAAGGAAATTACCTCTGCCGTAAAAAATCATTGGGGAATGAAGATTCTAAAGATTGTCGCGTGGAGTAAGAGTGAATCTGAGAATTAAACTTAAAATAAGTCTTAAAATTGCTCTGGAAAGTTTTCAGTGATCTGAATATACCCTTTAAATAAAAGGTTGAATACCATAATTGTGCTTAAACAAGGTCCTTAGTATTACTATTAGGATGTGTTTAGATTTATTTTACTGTGCATTAATGTGTTAGCCTACATTTCACGCTGTAGATGTTTTAATTTTTGAGCCATTTTAACTGTATTTTTATATGCTGGATTGTGTAGTTTATTCCATCTATCGTGATGGATAATCACCGAAATAATAATTTGGAGGACCATGTTTCTCTGGAATTCAACTTTCATGAGCTCAGAAAAAGACAATCAGGTAAAAAGAGCCCCGATCAATGCGTTTGCAGGAAATTGTTAGTTTATTTAGCTTAGACTGTAATAGGGGTAGAAGTATAAGGTTGAGCACTGTTAGTAAGTACTGTGAGTAAATGGTACTTATTACACCATCACAGGTGAGTTATGATTGCAGGCCCAATTTAGAAAACAACTTTAAATAAATGATCCCATTAAAAAACACACACAATATAAATATTGCAGCAGCCTATCCAGATATAACCATAAGTGGATGAATAACTTGATAATCATATAATTACAATTACAATACACAAATATTTATTACTGTTAGTCTATATGACAGTTCAACTCTCAATAATGTGTGTTGTCAAATAATATAGGCTGTCTATGCAACTTCTATTTACACGCAGTTCAATAAGCAATCAAATTTAGCAAAGAGGTCCATTGAGTGACATCCGTGTTCATATGTAACTGACAGCTGTTTAATCTATGAAAATATATAGATCGAGCATGAGGATGGTTAATTACTAAAAACCACAACAATATGCATATGTACATATATAGAGGCGTTGTGGTGAACTTAATCTACACTGAAAATAAATGTTAGGGATGGTAAACTTGTAGTTACATCTTTCTGTAATGTGTAAAATAATTCGTGGAGCTGTAAGTTAGATAAAAGTAGTCTAACGTGTGTCAGAACTGCATTAAAGAACAGATGAAGAACCAAAGTTACCAATAATGTAGAGGTTGTATAAAATTAATAAATGACACCAAAATAAAGAGTCATATTATACACAGAAAGATATAGCACCTGAATATTCAAATTTATTATTAATTATGTATTATGTGTTTTCATGTGTGGAAAATTGAAGTTTTCCCCTCATTGAGGAGATGAACAGGAATATATAATAATAGCAAACAAACAGTGTCTTTTGTATATTTAATAAAGTCAGGTGTAATAGAGAAGAGGTAAACCACGAGTGAATCCTATTTCAGCTGAGAGGACAGAGCTTACAGCACTGTGCTACGTTACAAGTGCTGATCCAATTAAGGATCAGAGATACAACACATTTTCTTGTAGTACAGAAGGGAGAACTCTCTTATCGCCTTGAAACGGTAGTCAATCTTCACTTGGTGTGTTTAGATTCGTTCATCGTATTTAGGCAATCTTCACCTCTTCTTGGCTAACGAGGCACAAAAACACATAATATATCACAGTGAAAAATGTATTAAGAGCGTAAGATAATGGGAAGGATGTCATTGAAAAGTAGAAACAGTTCAGTAAAGGTTACATACAGTCATATAGCATGTCTAATGGTGCCTCGACCTTTGACTGGTAGTTAACACATCTACAATCTAGTACTAAGTCTTCAGTGTTTATTTATAATAGATGTAGCTAGAAGAAAAAAATAATAAGTATAGGAAAACTACAGAAATTAACATTGTTGCTTCCAATAGTTCAGGTTAAGTTGTACTTGTATGCACTCTATTTATATCATTTCAAACATCAGAATCAGTGGTCCAGAAGTCACTTTTATTGGAATTTGACTCTTTTCTGGACTTGTACTGGCTCTCAATGTTCAAACACAGACAAACAGCAAAATAAACGAAAAACAAGTTCAACAAAAAAAGACAGATTAATAGTGTGCAGTTATACAATCTATAAACAAACATTTGTAGTTTTACCAACATAGTGCTTAATAGTGCGGAGAGCACAGGATGTTAATTAAATATTTTATGTGGCAGTTTCTTTATGTACATGAGGTAGGTGGATATGAGTCTACTCGTAAAGTACAGTACATACATATGCAACAAGCGATAGTTAGATGTATCTAGAATAGAATTTATTGTTTCAGTTTTAAAAAAGAAAATTGAATTTTCAACAATGGGAACAATAAGTAATAAATGTTTCCCAGGTTCGGTGGATATTAAGATCCAAGGGTATTGTACAGGACAGTTAAGCTGTTTGGTCAGAGTGACGGCCTGTGGGTATAAAAGACATGAAAAAAAAAAACATATTGAAGCAAAGATCAACGGCTCTGGGTCTGATCAGTTGCACGTTGTGCATAATTATACATTAACTTATGTTTTTAAACCTTGAACTCTATTAAAAGCTCAAACCAATCGCTCAATCCTTTCAACCCCCTGAGCTCAAGATACAGAAACAGACATTTTTGTATCACAAGAATGTATTTACTTATCATTAATTAACTCATAATTTGAAGTATTGGTTCATATTAATGACAGGATCAACTTGTAACCATAAATAAATATCACACTCACATTAACTGGCCCGTCCTAGTGGAGCCATGTTTAGCACTCCGGGTATTACTGTCGTTCTTTTGGTTTTTTATTGTTTTGTATTTGTTTTATATCTTTATTTATTGTTGTATTTATAATTTCTATTCTTATCTATATCTAATATATATGGCTTAAGTACAGTGATTCACAAAGTCACTTATGGCTGTAGACTATTTTCTTTATAGTACTATTCCGACTGGTTATTATATTCCATTAGATTAAATATTCTATCTATCTATCTATCTATATCTATCTATCTATCTATCTATCGTATCTATCTATCTATCTATCGTATCATATCTATCTATCTTACTATTATCTATCTATTCAATATCAATTCAATTCAAATGGCTTATTGGCATGAAGTAACACTGTACGATATTGCCAAAGCAAGGTTGAAATAAAATAATAACAATAAAGGAAAACAAATATTTACAATAACATTAAATTTTCAACTGTTGTAATACTGTAACTATTGATTGACTCAATCACAGTCACAATCAATCAATCTCAGTCAATAAGCTAATCTAATTACAATGAATCAACAATCAATCAGTTTGTTCAACTAAAATTAAAACAGTAGTAAGCGTGTGTTAGAAAATAAAAATAATATATTAAAAATTAAAATAAATAAATAAAATAGTAAGCGTGTGTGTGTGTTAGAAAATGAAAATAATGTTAAAATAAAATAAATAAAAATAGTAAGCGTGTGTGTTAAAAAAAATAATAATAATAAAATAATAATAATATATTAAAATTAAAATAAACTAAAATTCCCCATCTTCCTGACTGACTTCGACTTGAACCAATCAGAGACGAGCTCCCCTCCTCGGCGGCCACAGCCAATCAGAGCGCTCGCACAGCCGAGTGGGCGGGGCCTGTCAGAACAGCTGGTGGGGGCTCGTGTGAGGGGCTCGAGCCGAGCGGTTGGCTGGTTGCTGGGGGAAACAACAACAAGCTAACGTCATGAGGGTCCCAGAAACTCTGATTTGGGTCGTTTTTCTCCTCCAAAAGGTGAGAAAAACCGACCGTGTGTCTTCGTGAGCTGCTTATGTGGTGCGTTTACTTCCCGCAGCGACACGTGACCGATAAAAACCGCCTGTTTTGTTTTGTTTCTCTGCCTCTCTCTGCCCGTGCTTTCGGGATTATTAGCTCGGATGCTACGAGGGCCCTGGAAAAAAGCTTCACTCACCTTTTTTTTTTAATGTGGTTTTAACAGAGGAGGGATTATTGCTGATTCACTGCCACACTGACACTACCGAGGGTTGATACGGACTGCAGTTTAGTAGCTATTAGGACACACTGGGTCGGATAATGTTGGCTCTCTATCAGTGAGTTTAAGGCTTCAGGGTGAAATGTGTGCTCGTCTGATCATTATTTGTTTCCCTAAAATGTTTAAACAGACTGAACTTTGAAGTATAACTCATCCTGAGCCGTGGTTGTTGTGTTTTCTGTGATATACAGCAGTGGAAATAGACTAAAAGAGGTGTCGGTTCAACCTAATGGTAACTTTAGAGGCTGTTGTTGAAACTATATTTCATTTTACCATGAAAGGTATAAATCATATTTTACATCAGGTTGTGTAGATTTGATATACAATTCAACAGCAGCTCAAACTACACTATATTTACTAATATTCAGTGTACATGTAGTAATAATATTATTATAAAAACAGATTAAATAGAGAGAAACTGTCCCCTTCATATAAAAGGCCCATTATTAGTTTTCCTCTCTTGTGTCTGGGTTTGTAGTTTAGAAATATGCATTTATTTAAGTGTTTTTAAGTTGAACACATTGATAAATCAGTGTAATGGATTCATACCAACAACGATTGTTACATTTCCTCAAACTGGTGTTGATTATAATGAATTCAGAAGTGCGGGACGGCTCGTATGTACATTATCGTCACTGTGCAGTCATAAATATAACATGTAAGAACTTATAGATGTCAATTAATGGCTTATTTGTGGAGTAAAGTGACAGGTTATCAATTAAACTTAACCTGAGTCGTCAATCCGTCGTATTTATGTTTCATATTTTGTCTCTTTTTGTGACACAGACGTTGTTTTTATGTTGACAGGTGGTGGGAGAGTATGGCATGGCCCATTTCAGTGACAAGGGCAAAAGCAAAGGAAAGGATTACTGCATATTCTTCAACTCGCAGTGGGCTCGTCTACCTCAGGACCTCAATAAGGCAGTAAGTCACCAGCGAGCGGCGAGAGGTGTAACCGCGTCTGTGAGCAATAATAACATTAACTGTAAAATGTTTCACAGCCACTCACGCTTGGGGATCGATGAAGTGTTTTTTCAGGAAGCCTGAGACAAGATGTGTTATATATATATATATATGTGTGTATATATATATAGGAATATTCATCCTGCAGGAAATAAATGAGGGAATTAGTCTCTAGGTCGTTAATAAATTAGACTTTTGTAAATAATTGTACGATTAGGACAAAGAACAACTCTTCAGCACAAAGTCTTTTTAAATTCAGAAGTAGTTTCATCATTTTAACGTCTATAATCAATGGATCTGTACTGACTCCGGTCTGTTAGCAGCGACAGGAATTATCAGCTCGTTTTCACTGATTTATGAAGCATTTGGAAATCCAATCCAACTTCATTTGTTAAGCACTTTAAAACAACCAAAGTTGACCAAAGTGCTGTACAGAAGAATAAATAAAACATCATAAATAAAAGACATAACAGCTCACATGAGGTGCAAAATTACATATAAAATACAACAATAAAATGAAAAGACATAAAACATGAGTAGAAAAAACAATAAAAAGCAATAAAATAAGAAATTAAATCAAGTAAATAAAGTCGACATCTCTAGGTGTCAAAAGCCACGGAGAAAAGATGGGTTTTAAGAATTAAATAAATAATATTAATAAATAAAGATCATTTTTAAGTGTTTCTCTGTAACAGAATTTCCTTCCAGCTCTGGTTAACACTGCAAACCTTTTATCTCGCAGTCCCGTCTTCAGATCTATGACCTGACTACATCGGTCCTGTGCTCGCTCTCTGAAGTCCCGGAGGGAGGCTTCCCAAACCGCATCCCCATGGTGATGAGAGGCAACTGCACTTTCTACGAGAAAGTCCGACTAGCCCAGCTCAACGGCGCCAAGGGCCTGCTCATAGTCAGCAAGGACAGACTGGTAACCCGGCTCAGAACTACGAACATCTGAAGGCTGTTGTGTGTTTTCACTGGGAGGGTTAATTACTTTTGGCGCTTCGTAAAACAGAACGTTTCTCTCGTTTTCTTTCTCTACTTGCAGACACCACCTGCAGGAAACAAGACTCAGTACGAGGAGATCGACATTCCTGTGGCGCTGCTCAGCTACTCTGATATGCTGGACATAAGCAAGGTGAGAGGCCGGTAGGGATGGGCGATATATTGTCGTTTACGATGTGTCGTCAAAAACATTCCCCACGGTAAGAGAAATGTGTCCATCCCACGATAAAAAAAACGATAAACCCCCAGTCAGATGACTTTTCTGGAACACTGGTTTGCTTATAAGAGGTCTGACGCGGAGCAGCAGTTTATCACTCTCGAGGTTCCAAACCAAAGTAGTGCAAACAAAAAACCAGTAACGACGACTCAATTTTTCCACACACACTGTAGAACACAAGGCCAAAACCGGGAAGTACGACGATAGCCAGAAACACCGCGCAGGGATGCAGCAAAGCAGGTCGAACTCAAGCCAAAAGCCTCCGCAAGACAGACAACAAGCTCACGGACGAAAGTTGGCCGATGCATTTGCTCATTCCACACCGTGATGGATACTCGGAGCAAACGCGGGTGGAAGAGGAGTGTAAATTAAGTGCTTTGCCTGCGACGGAGTATGTTGACGCTATTTTTATCT